TGTGTCAAAAAAGAATTACCAATTTATCGTCTGTGTGTTCACATCTTGAGAACATTTTTTGCCTATGTTATATTAAAGACTTTTTAAAATATCCTTTCAAAATATTATTCCACTTTCACGCTCCATCAATTATTCTGAAGCAAATAAATTTTTGAATATGTCACTTTGTCGCTGAGCTGAACCTTGTATTAGTCTTGCGGATCCTTTAATTCCTTTTCTACTGTCACGTGAATTTCCAAAGGGTTACCCCTGTACGACGAGGTTTTACTCAACAAGGTAAAAATGTCGATCGAGTTAAATAAGGGATCGTACGTAATACGGCGTTAAAAAAAATAATTATCATCAATTCAAAAAACAAACAAAATCTAACATGGCGTAAGTTGATATAATCTAATCTAATATTTATGTTTATATTTTTTACTTGCTTGAAGGATGCTTCAAAACATCTAATAATATGTTATGTATGAAATGTATACAGTTCTACAACTCAAAAATCAAAAGCTGAAATGTCAGAAGAAGAACTTCGACAAATGGAAGAAAATGAATTTAATACAGGACCATTATCAGTTCTACAACAATCAGTTAAGAATAATACACAGATATTGATTAATTGTAGAAACAATAGAAAATTGCTTGCAAGAGTTAAAGCATTTGATCGTCATTGTAATATGGTATTGGAAAATGTTAAAGAGGTTTGTTTTATGTGTATATATATATTTGTGTGTATATGTACACGCTTTATTAAAAAAAAATTTTTATATATAATGATTTCTAGATGTGGACAGAAACACCTAAGACTGGTAAAGGCAAAAAGGCTAAGCCGGTCAATAAGGATAGATTCATAAGTAAAATGTTTTTACGTGGCGATTCAGTAATCCTTGGTAATTTTATTCTTATTATCATCGTCATCATTATTAATATTGATATATTCTGTTTATTAATGAATGAAATTTAAATTTTTTTACTTTTGATTATTTGTAAAATAGTGCTTAGAAATACTGTATAAAAATCTGATTCTATGTAATGAAGTTTTAAAGATCTTTCAAACACTCATTAATAACATTTTCAAGGGCTTTATATTGAAATTTTGATGTGATGGTATCTGATAAATTATTGTTATTGATATTACTATTACTATTGTTATTATTAATATTACCATTGTTATTATTGAATTTCTTCGGCTATAATTACTAGTGTCTTCTATATTAATGTCATTGTTA